CCAAGGGGGTCTCAGTGCCCTGAACTGGAGTCCCATGACCACGAGAATGATCAAGTTGTCCCTGAACTTGCATGGGATCTGCTGTTCCAGCTGGAGGCCTACAAATCTATGCGGCCTGATGGGATTCATCCCAGAATCCTCAAAGTGCTGGCTGATGTCATCACAAAACCTCTTGGTGATTTTGAGCAGTCTTGGAAATCTGGAGAAGTCCCTGCAAACCTGGGAAAGTTCTTGTAGGCTATCTGGGCTCTGGATTTCAATTTCTGATCGGGAAAAAGGCTGAGAATGGTAGAGAATTTGTGACTTCTGTTTGAAATTTTTATTTAAGCCTGAAAAATTTTGAGCTGAAAGAATAGTATTAAGTTTATCTTGTTTGTTGAGCTTTTCTGTCACTTTAAAATTTTACAGGTTATTATAAAGGATACAAGTATTGTGTTGACACAGTCTCACATCAAGGCATATATGCTGATGACACTTCAAGGATTAGAATATCTGCATCAACACTGGATTTTACATAGGGTAAGCATGTACTAACATGGCAGCCTTCATGCTGTAACAAAACACACATGGGATAAAATTTAAGTCTAAAGTCTGATGAAAGTAGTTTTGGAGTTCAGACACTCTCACTTGATAAGGTTTCATATTAGCTGTTTTGGAGAGACAATAGAAATAGCAGAAATGGTAAGAATTACTGATGCATTTTTCTCTTAGATACTTATGTAGAAGGTTCTCCAGTTAAATGTGACTTTAATTATCACTGTGAACTAGGTCTGGCTGGGATGGATTGAACTTTTTTCACAGCAGGTGAACTGTTGAGGCATTCTGTTTTTTCTACCGTGCCCTGGCCCTGATGCGTAGGCTGGGGGTGGGTAAGACGTGAGGAGGGGACACAACTGGGGCAGCTGACCCAAGTTGTCCCTAGGGATATTGCATGCCATATAATGCCATGATCATTAGTAAAAACCTGTGTTAGAGAAGAATGGGGGATTTTGCCCTCCAAGTTGCCTCTCTCTTGGAGAATGGTCTGTGTATCTGTCTGCTTGTGGGAGGTGGTGAATGATATCCATTGCATTGCTTGCTTTTGTTTTTTCCTCTTTCCTTCACCTGTTAAACTGCCTTTATAGTGTTCCTGGAGTTTTCTTGCTTTTGGTCTTCTCTCGCTTGTACTTCTGGCATGAGAATGGAATGAGCAAATGGCTATGTGGATGCTTCTCTACTGGCCAGGAGTCAGCCCAAAAAATCACTGCTACTGAATTAAACTGTATTACTTCCATAATTTCTGCAGTTATATGAAACATTTGCAAGGTCTTTTTATTATTCAGTTGGCATCTATGCAGTTAACAGAACTGTTCCTGCAGCAAAGCTAAAACCTATCAGGTGGCTTTCTTATACTCTGCAGCTTAATGTGTTAATATTCAAATAGGTGTGTCTCACTGTGATTTTCCTCTATGCCTAAATACTCAATTTGTGGTGTTTTATAATTTTTTTTTCTCACAATGTAGACTTCAGAGAGAAAAGCTTTAATTTTAGAATACTCTTATGATACATTTGCCAGGGGATTCATTTATATGTCTGCTTTTATCAATACTGACAAAATTCATTATTTGCTTTCTCTACTGACAGGATCTTAAACCAAATAACTTGCTGTTAGGTGAAAATGGGGTTTTAAAATTGGCTGACTTTGGCTTGGCAAAATCTTTTGGAAGCCCAAATCGAGTTTATACACATCAAGTAGTAACAAGGTAAGACATTCTATTTTGTTTCTTACAAAGAGATTATTTAGTTGTTTTGTAGGTGTCTCTTGACATCTCTCTCATGTCATATCAACATATTCAAGGAGTAGCATCTAGTTCATGTTATGTGGCAAGAGCCTCATAAAGAACATGCAGGAAAGCATTGTTTAACAAAATCTCCATAAGAACTGCTACAATATGCATCCCTGGGGTTGTTTTTTTGTATGATACTCTTTTGAAATACATGGAAATAATAGGTATCTTCCTCTAAGCCTGGTTTTGGTACCAAGACAGCTGCTACTTTCTGTTAATCACAAGACCTAGCTAGTCACATTACCTATTATGAGACAAACATTTGAACCAATTAAAATATTTATTAATGTTGTTTATGGCATGCTTATTTCAAGGATGTTTTAAAAACCAGGGCTGCTAAACATGCAGTGTGTCTCCTCCTGACTGCTGTAATGCTGAAACTATTCATGCAAAGTTGGTTTAACATCTTTGTTCAAAAGGCAGGAATTCTACAGTAGTTTCAAGAGCAGTGTGTACCAGGTTCATTGCATTACACTTAATTGTTCTGAGGCAGTGTTAAGTAGCTGTTTTAAACAACAAAACTCATTTTGCATAAAGCTAACCTCAATATTTAGGCTTGTTGATATGGAGATTTTTGGAAGCTGGAAGAAGTTCTGTCTTGCTGTCATTCCTTCAACATAAAATTTTAAGAAAATTTTGTTTTATAACTTTTTAACTTGCAAACCTGCAAGTTAAAATCTTTTTTCCTTGATGTGCCTGCAGTTCCATTGCTTGTAATCGGCTCAGTTGAAACTGTAGTTAATTTGTGTTTGCGTGTGACTCTATGGTGAGGAATGCACAAATTTTTTTAGTCTTTCTTAAACAAAACATTTTGTAAGGTAGACTTTGGTGTCTGAAAACTAGATGGGCAGAAGCAGTATCCTCGTTTAGTATTTGCATTGCTACAGTATACAGCATTTGCAATGAGCAAAGCCAGGTGATTTTCCCAAAATCTGTTTTCTTTTTAGGTGGTACCGAGCCCCCGAACTATTGTTTGGGGCTAGAATGTATGGTGTTGGTGTTGATATGTGGGCTGTTGGTTGTATTTTAGCTGAATTGCTCCTCAGGGTAAGTCCTCAAATGTAAGCATTTTGTATTTGCTCTTTAATGCACTACAGTTTTTATGTGGGCTGCTTCTTTCCTGCTAACAGTAGCAGGTTAAGCCAGGCTAGAAGAAAGTTTCCAAAACCTTGTTAACTGTAATGAAGGTGAAGTTTTGCAATAGACTGAGTTTCATAAGCATCCACAAGCATTGGAAGTCTTTCAAAATGGTTGGATAAAAAAGTTGCAACAAACTGTCACAGTATTGCCTTGGGAGATCCCAAGTACATAACTCTTCCAGTACTCTTAGTGTTACAATTTCACACAGCCTTCTATGAGTTTCACTCCCTAGCCTTCTAGAAATGTGACATCCTAGATACTGCATACACTGTCCCTTATACATTGTTCCTCACTAACTGTAAATTATAATCACCAACACCTTAATTGTGGGTTTATGTACAACAAACAGAAGATCAGTGTTTGTGGTTTTGGTCAACTAACTGTGGTTAGTTGACGATACTAAAATGAAGCCGATGGTTAACACTATGATAATCCTATGGCACTCCTCTTGTATGGTACACAGATGTCATGGTCCTTAACTATGTTTTAGTGAACTAGAACATTTCCTATGCAGCTCTTTGGAGAAGACATGAAAGTGTCGGGGGGGGGGAAGAAGGGCAGGGAGACAGACACAGCTGAAGGCACGAAGTACCTGCAGTATCCTTTATCTTTCATGACTAAGTTGCTTCTGCTTGGTTTCTGCACCATACTTGAAATGCTTTTGTGGCTATCTCATAACCAGACTGGGGAACTGGTCTGTGTGAAATCGCCTTGAAAGAAATCCTTTGCCTTGGTTTGCCACACCAAACAGGTATGCTGGTACAATTTGGTTGGCAGTTCAGACATGGAAATATATATTGGCTGTTTAATGAACACTAGTGATGTGTACATAAATATGCACTAGACCTGGTAAAGTGATTAAATTGAAGCAAAGTCAGAAAACAAATAAATTGTTAAATTTATTGAATTGTTGAATTGATTCTTTGGTTTCTCACAAAGTAGAAAATCTATTATGGTTCAGTTTTATTACTGTGGTGTTTTCAAGACAATGCATCTTCTGAGAGCTTTATGAAAGCAGTTTATGTTTGAGGGCCTTTCATGATGTCAAAATTTAATGTGGGTATTTCTGTGTTGCTTAGTTAAACACTGTCTCTAATTCTTTATAAATTTGCCTTGGTCTCAAAGTTTCTTTTACTTGCATTGTGTGCTGGCTGTGCAAGGTACAAGTTGAACTGGGCAGATATCCCCTTTTCAGTCTTCTGCTTAGTTTAAATAACATGTGATACTGATAAGACAGTTTTCTATCCTAGTGAGTCTCTACTCCCCCTCATACTTAAATCTCATTTCCTCAGTCTAACTTCTGTAATGCAGTTATAATTAATTTTAAATGTACTGAATATATATAAAAGTTAACTTCAGGGAACAGATGATGGAAGGGTCATGATGACCAACTGACTTTGACAACTAAGATGTAAAATCTTTCCTGTATTTAGTTATTTTACTAAATTGTAATAATTTTATGTGTAATTTTATGTTTAGGTCCCTGTTGTCAAGTCAACATTATGAAGCCCAGGTTCAAGAAACTTTCAGAATCTATTTGGACATCAGTAGAATGCCTCAATATTCAGTGTAGCTCTTTGTGGGGAGATGGTATACAGGGGTGTTTTGCCCTGCAATTATGAGTGATCACTCAAAGCTCTGCTCTAAAACTGAAGTTCAGAAGTTATTTAAATCAAATGCTATTACCTTCTAGGTTCCTTTTTTGCCTGGAGACTCTGATCTTGACCAGCTGACAAGGATATTTGAAACATTGGGCACTCCAACAGAAGAACAGTGGCCTGTGAGTCCTTGTGAGACTGGCATAAGTTTTACTTGATACTCTCTATTTTAAATTAAATAAAGAGTGATACCGGAATACTTGAGTAGATTTTCAGAAGGCAACTGCCTTATCTCACAGAGGAGATTAGATTTGTTGTTTCTCTTGGCAAACCTCTGGTCAGTAGCAAGATTAACAACACTTTATTGTTTCCTTTCCATGTGTGCAGAGTTTCCTATGGCTACTGGTGTGAAATTATTGTTGCTTAATGTTTTTGGATGCTTGGTTAATGAACTGTGCTTTAACCTGTAAGACTTTCATTTCAGAAGCAGAAACCATTTGTAGGGATCTAAGTTGGCCAAGGTAAGTTATAGTTTGGAATACAGTAAGAAACACCAGATCAACAGCTTTAGAGATGAACAATTTGTCTCAGCAATGGTCCTGTAACAAATACAAATTAGTAGTATAATTATCTCTGAAGTGACAATAAATTCAATAATACTAGGCAAAACTTACTGTCAGGACATACACTGACCTACCTACCTATGGATATTAGGCAGACTGACAGGAAGTGGGGCATACCTTCTGATGAGCAACTGGCACCAGTAGTTCTGAATTCCCTGATTGGGAATTGTTTTTGAGCTATGGAAGCACTCACTGTACTTGTTAACATCTACTCCCTCTCCATGATGCTTCTCCTTTGTGTGAATTGTGCTGGAATGCTATGGTACATAGTCATGAAATGGAGCTGTAGCCGTATGGAGAAATACCGTATGAGGCACTGCTAATCCCACACAATTCTGCTGTTGCTCTGGGATTCTGAATGAAACACATAAAGGTTTTTGCAGTGACATTTCTGCCTTCCTTGGAGAGGAAAAGTTAAGATATAGGTGGGAAAAGGAGTGAATAGGAGATTGGCTAGCACAACAGAGATGATGCATCCCAAAGTTAATTTTCAGGCCCATGCATTTCAATAATTGAAAACTCTACTATCAAGATTGTAACTGATGGAGCACATTTTTCACTTTATTGTTAATATTTTATTTTGCTTGGACAAACTTGCTGAAGTGTGATGACTAAATAATTAAAATACTACTAAAGTATTACATTTGGATAATTGCTACAAGATAATTTTTATGCTAGAATTTGAATACAATGGGATTGATTTCATACCTACAGGAGAAAAAAGTATGCAGTTCATCTTTTGTTAACCTGCTTGGTGTATATTTTCCTTCCATCTTCCAACAGGCCATATAAATTGTCAGTTGTACATTTCAAAAGTAGCTCAAAATACAGTTAATTTTATTAATGTGGAGAAAGACTTGCTCTTTTGTGAATATTTTCCCTTCCACCGTGTCAGAGCATAACAGGAACCTTTATTTCATTTGTCTGCATCCACTCTAAAGTCCCTTCATACTTCCTTTCTTCGTTAACAGTTTTTCCTTTTGGACTGGTCACTGTTAAAGAAAAGACAGATCGTTTGGAAAGGGAAAGCATAAAACAACTGCAGCAGTTACTGAAAAAGAAAAAGCCTTTATGACCCACTACTCCCACATTTGTTATTTCAGTGACCAAGTATTAGCAAGATGTTTTGAAAGAAGATTTGCTTCTGCTGAAAGGCAGCCATATGAAGTTTGCTTTCTGTGAAAAACTGAGCCCTGAAGTAAAAAACATATATTCAATTTTTGGTCTTTGTAGGGGATGACGAGTCTTCCAGATTATATCACTTTTAAATCTTTCCCTGGAATGCCACTTCAACATATCTTCAGTGCAGCTGGTGATGATCTGCTCAATCTTCTTCAAGGCTTATTCACATTTAATCCTTGTACTAGGGTTACAGCTACTCAGGTATAGTACACTTCAGTTATGTCCTAATGTGCATTAACCTACTGTTAATATCAAATAAATGTGTTTTGAAGCCAGTAAGCCAGGTTTGAAATGAAATGTTACATGAATTTCCAGAAACATAATCCCAGTGTTCTAGAAAGAGAACTCTGAAAGGCATGCTTAATGTAACTGATTATCTCTGTTCCCACTGTAGAGCAGAGGTAGACATCTAAAAAGTGTATGAGTCATGGCCTTCAGACAGTCATATTTGACATTTGGAATTCAATCACCTAAAGCTTGAAGGTTAAGTCTTAACATAGCATATCCTATTCCCTGGGTTTGAAAGATTTTCAAAGCCTTACTTCATCCAGTGTCTTCTTCAATTTCATTTAAACTTTCATAATACTTTTTTAACATAAAATTCTGTGGTGATTTAAAGCTTGATGCTCGTCTAAATACCCTTTTCCATTATACTTTCAATTTCACTACTCCCTGATGGTGAGAAATTAAGGACTTCGAAGGAAAATCTTGCAGAATGCTCTAGTTCATAATATTGATTTCTGTAATGAGGAAGATATACCAGCTGGCAGTTTGAAAAGTGTATTTCTGTCTCTTTACACTGTTAGGGAGGCATGCAAGAAACAGAGTTGCTCCCTTAAGGCCAGGACTCCCTCATTGCTGGTTAGACAAGGCAGATCTGAATCTATGGGATTAGTGTAGTTGTTACATATCTTTTTACTAGAAGACTTTTTCAGAGCACATTTAGACTTTTTTGGCCGCTGTCCTTAAGAACATTCAGTTTAAGTTTCCAAATAATTAGTTATGCTATGCTTGGGACACCAGTTCATATGTCTGAAGTGATTTTTCAGATCATATTGTAGGACAGTGTATTTTTCCAGCCTAGACTATTTATTGGCAATGCCACAGTTTAAGACAGGAAACAATTTGTACTTACAGTATTGGTTTGACTTATAACTGGCATTGAATATCATGTAACTGGCATTAGTAGGAGTAATGATTGCCTAGGAGACATCTTAGCTACTTTTTGTTAACCACACTTTATGGAAGCTGTGAAGTTCCTAAAATTTAAAATAGGGTATGTAATTCCACTACATGAAATCAACCTTGCTCACTTGTGTTTGTCTTCTGCTCTGATAGAAATCTGTGTCTTTCTCACAGTTTACGGGGTAGAAACAGCACAGTTAAAGAAATCTTAAAAGCTAACAAAACAGCTGGTGTCCAAGTCCTGGATCTGATCAAGACTTCAGATATATTCCTTTAATTTTTCTTTAATCCTGCTTTACCCTTATCCTCTTGTCTCATCTGTTGATTCAGAATATGAGCTCTTCAGAGCTAGAAAACTGCTTACACAAGACCTTTTGCAAAATAGTTGAAAGTTTTGTTAGGATGTCTGAGCACTAGCTGAAAATAACAGTACAGACCTATCCCTTGCTTTACCAAAATCTAAGTGAGGTACATAGTAATTGAGAACATACACTTGATTTGCCCTAAGGCCACCTTCTAGTATGAAAGTGACCAAGTAGTTTTTAAGTCCCAATAGCAAGTGCTTTATTTCATTATAACCTCTTTATAAATGGTATTCTGACACTTAATGCTAATTACTTGGTTATTCTTCTTCTGTTATCATTAAGGCATTGAAACAGAAGTATTTCAGTAATCGACCAGGACCCACTCCAGGAAATCAGCTGCCAAGACCCAACTGTCCTGCAGAAGCTGTAAAGGAGCAACAAAATGCACTTTTAAATTTAAAAAGGAAAAGAACAGAAGGAATCGATCAAGGTAACCTTTTAACATTTCACTGATTTTAAAATAGGAGCTGCATGCTCACATTGCTACATGCTCACATTGCTACATGCTCAAATGCTACATGAACACAAACTCTCTGAATGGATTAATTCCCTAGGCACCAACACTAGCTGAAGCCCTTCAGTGATTTGTGGTTTAAGGTAAATACTTTGGGGTAAGAATGACTTAGTTCTGCATTCTAACAGAATTAGTACAGAAAAGACTCTTCTATGATGCTTAGGAATTTATTTGTTAGAAATATCCAATTCCATTAATTGCTCTAATGGTGTGTGATACTGCCTAGTAAATTATAGGCTATTATGATGAGCTTGTTTTTTTCTGAGACGTCTTACTTAGATGGAAGTAAGTTAAGTAATTTAAGTACTTCACAGTACTTAAAACAAAACAAAATGAGGAAAGGAGTGTAAGAGTCCAAAACATAGCATGTGATTCTGTGAAATGACAGACTAGAAAATGTAGATCAGATTCTGAGAGATTTCTGCTTTCTTTCTCATAAGGTAAGCAAGTTAATTGTTTAGACCACTCTCGGTAAGGAACATGAGGCACATTTCTGTGACCCTCCTCCAGTCTTCCCCAAACAGCAACATTTCTTCATATCTTCATGGCAAGAAAATGCTCAGGACTCAACACCTCTATCTGATGCTGAATTACTCAGACCTTCTACCAGAGAGGCAAATATTGGTTCTTAAACTTGGAGTTGGTCTTCCTAATTTTGTTATTGCCAGTATAAGACTCAATTTTAGTACAAGAGTGGTATCTTTTTGTAATAGAGGTGCTTCCATAGAAGTGTGTTTCCTCTTGAGTTCAGAGAGACAACCACATTATTAGGGTTTAAGTAACTTTTAGGCACTTTGAATGGTTGTTTCTTAGTCTGTGTGAAATTAGAAGTAAAATGCACTAGGTTCATCACCTTAAGATTTCAACTTCAAAATAAAATTTAATCAGCTGATTACTTGCACGCTGTTTACTGACCCCAGTACCATCGGTCAACTGATATGTGGGAACTTGTCAAGTTATAGTAGCTTAGGCAATTAATTTAAGCTTTTTAGCTCCTTTTGCAAAGATCATTTGAGGGTTTGTGACTAGCGTTTTGGAGTACATGCCCTATAAAAGGCCTGTTAACTAAAGGAGAGGAAAAAGAGAAATGCTTCTTTGATTTCTGTGACTTAATTGTTGTATTTGACAATGGGCAGAGTTTCCAGAGCTGTATCAAGCTAGAAAATAACTGCTTTAACATCTTTCAAAAAGTCTTATCTTCAACAAGAAATCAAGCGTATGCGTTAAATGCTAGGAGTTTTGAGATTAGGTATAAATGAGGCATTTAAGAAGTCAACATTAATTTTTGAGACATTTGAGAATCAGCATAAAAAGCAGTATCATCCACTAAGTGGAAACAGAAACGTAATGGATTTTCTGATGGATTTTCCATTACATTTTGTTGTTGCCTTAGCTGGGCTGACAGAATCAGATGGTCTCAAAGGTAGTGCCAACAAACATGTAGGAAGAGAACCAATGTTAGAGCTAGCAAATCTGCTGCCCTGGATTTCATTTGCCATCCTTAAATGGCATTACCACCTAAATTTAAAATCTGAGTAGTTGTTTGGAAGAACTTCTTTTTTTAAATAACATTTGAAGGACAGCATGTTTTTACTACTGTTGAGGGTGGAAATGTGCTAAATTAATTTCAAAGAAAAATAAGGTGCATTCCCTGAAATTCCTAAGATTGGCCTGCCCTTGCATCCTGCACAATACGTTTCCTTAGCCTTGTCCAGGTGGCACCCTAGAGCTCGGCAGAACAGACTGAGTGATTACTGATGGATACCCTCTTGTAAAATATTGGTATCAGGATCTGACTGTCAGGAGAAAGATTCCTACCATCGCCCTATGTGCTGCTTTTCCACAGCAACGAAACCCCGTAGCCTGTGGGGTGTGTTCACCAAACTAAAGTGCTTCTCAGAAAACAGCCTCTATTGTCAGGGAAAAACTGTCACCAGATGGATGACTCTCTGTGAAAAGTATTACGCATGCATACTTTCTGTCTGCTGCTGCCACTTATTTCTGTTCAGTGTGGTACTGGAGACACTGATGCTATGATGACATCACTGTCGATCCTCAATCTGGCACTTAATCAAAAGCAGCACTGCTTCCCCAGGAAGTAGTCCTATTGATCTGCATTCCTACAGAGCTGTAGGTACACTAAACTTTTTCCTGAGTTAATGCAGCATAAAGAATCTGCCTAATATCAGAACTATTCTGCATTGGTTTGGAAATAAACTAAAGCCATTCTGTTCATATCTAAGGTTAAGAATTTGTCCTGGATCTGTCAGCATGTAAAAAAAATTATTAAGTGTTAGTGTGATGGGACAGGGTTAAGGCTTAGAACAGCTTGCTTTTTTTAGGTTTCAAAGTAGAATTAACTGGTTAGCTTTTCATGCCAACAGTTGACTGGTTAGCTTTTTATATTAACAAAGAAAAATATTTACATGTATCCCAAATGTAATTAATACTTAACTGCAGAATTTGTGACTCATTTGGAGCGCACAGTGATTTAAGTGTGCTTTGATTCTATCACTCTCTGAGGTTCTTTAAAAGTCATATACCACCACTGTAGTAAGCAGCATTAAGCAGTTCAGAGTAGATATATCTCAACAATGGTATCAAATCTTGAGGAGAGAGCTGGACCCCTTTACTTCGCTAACGATGTGATTTTACACTTTTCAGGATTACCAAAAAAACTGATTTTTTGATTGCTGTAGATGGTGTATGAAAACGAGTGAAAATGACTGAAGTCCCAGCCATTGATAAAGAGTCACAGGATGGTTATTTTATAATACTTTAACATGTAAAATTAGAATTTAATATTTCTTTACTGAAACAAAGGTTTTATTAACTCTTATTACAATAAAATTGGTTTGAAGAGGAAAAAAAAAGATTCCCTTATCTGGTCTCTTGTTTTATTACTTTGACTTGTGCTTTGGGGTAATAACTGTCAAAACTGCTTGCAGGCTATAAATTTACACAGACTAATTTTGCAGAACCTCTGTGTTAAATTACGTGCTATTCTGTACAGATGTATACCCTCAGGAGGAAAACTACAAAACACTTCTCACCTGGAGCTTAGATATACACCTGTCTGTCTTCTGGCTCCCTAATAAAAATGCATCACTGTAAGGAAAGGGCACATGATTTTTTTGTTTCAGATAAAAGGCTCAGGTATTAACAAATGACTTTGCATATGCGCTCTCAGCAGTCATGCATTAAGACTCTCCAAGGACGCATCCACTACCTTGAAAACACTATGATGCACATATTGAATGTGAATTGTTCGGGGTTTTGGTTTTTTACACATTCCAGTCTGCCAGGAGAAATTACCTGTGTCTTAGTTTAACAAGACACAAATGTTTGCTAAGGAGGGTGGGTTAGGAAAAAAAAACCCAAAACCAAACTCCTCCCTCTAAGTCATTAAAACTTCAGAATTAAGAGGCTTCAGGGGGAAGGTGTGGAAAAAGAAAATAACACCTCTTTATTAGCATGTGTATATATATATATATATATGTGTGTGTATAACAAACCTGAATAAGCAACAGTGGTGCAACCAAAACTTTCAAAACAAAGTCCTACTTCCCCAGGTGGCAGCTGCCGTGGCTCACCGTGACAGTCCGCAGGCTGTTCTCTGTGGCTCAACAACTGCTCACAGCCACGTCGACGACGGTGGCTCCACTGCCAGCCATGAAGAGGGGTTTCCCGCTGGTCCCAAGGCTATGGGCGCGGTCCTCGGCAACACCTTCGGGCTCCTCAGCTCAGGAAATAAATAGCCGCAGTGTCGGGCGGTGCGGGACCAGGCAGCCGCCGCAGGGAGTTGCTTTGATTTGCAGCACTGGCGCAGGGCGTGGCCGGGGACAGACACCTCTATCCAAGACGGTCGGCAGGGGCTCTCCTGGGGCTTATCCGTGCGGCTCCTGTGATGGCCAGCGAAGGACTGGGGCCGATCCCCAGCGGCGGTGCCAGGCAGGGGAAGGCTTCTTCTCGGAGCTTGAATTGGAGAACAAAAAGCTGACTGCCGGCTCTGTCGGGTGACTGGCAGGAATACCAAAAAACAAGACCCCAATTTGTGGTGCCGGCCAGTTCAAAAAACAACCCTCTCCCACTCCCGTGCCCCTCTGCGCGCGACCTCGCTCCTCCCCGACCCCCCTACCCCTGGAAACGGGGAGGAGGCTGTGATCTCACTGTAGGTGCACATTACCTAGTAACTGATATTGGAAAGAAATTCCATCATCTCTTTTCAAACCTATAACAATCTGGAAGCATATAAATACTGTTTCCTTCAAGTCCCGAAGATTGCAGTAAGAGATGGAGGGAGATTAACTGGGAAAACTATGCTAGCCCTCCTGTCAGCCTGTGGCTGTTTAACAGTTTATAGTGCAGATACTGGACTCAGCTTTGCCGGAATTCCGGCGTGGCAGCATTTAAAAGCATCTGCTGGGTAACCAAACTTCTTCAATTGAGAAAAACAACCCCAAAGGTACTGTTTATAGAGCTTAACTGTGTGCCCACAATGTTGTGCAGTGGATCTCAGGGATACCTAGTGAGCTGTTGTCATTTTCCCACCTGCAAACCAGTGTTTTCTTATTTTTGTGGCAAGTGTATTAGTACAAAACCATCTTCTTTCTTGTGTGTTCCTTCATTTAACTCTTGCCTTAAGACAAAGTATGCTGGCTTTGTAAAGGAGGATCACTACTGTCCCAGTACCCTACTGTGTTCTATATTGCCTGTTGGCAGTTGAAAAGTAAACAAATCTCCTAAGATCTAATTAATAGTGTAGAGAAAATGTTTATGCATTAAGAGTAGTTACAGCGGTTTTTATTGTCTATGTAATCAAACATCGTTATCTTCCTTATTGCAGGCTGGGGGATTAAGAAAACTACAGTCCTACTTCTCATAGGCATATATTCAAAAATATGTTAATCTGAATAGGGAAGAGGGAGTTAGGAGTACTGTAAACTTTTTTGCATTGAACTTTTCAATGGCAGCATTCTAACTGGTCTTCAAAGCCTGGAAGCCCTGAGCACCTGAAACAGATACTGCATTTTCTGGTATCCCAACTATTAGGTATAACAGGTAAAGTTTGTATGGCAGAGCCAATTTTAAATATTCTGTCAGTTCTGGTTTGGGAAACACTATTCTTTTTAAAATGCTCCATCTGTCTAGACAATAACTTTCCCTGAAGGAAACCTTTTCCAGCAGAACCAATCCTCTAAGCTCCTATTGGCCTAAGTTGTAGAGTAGGTACAGAGTTAGATGGGCAGTCAGTGTTTTAATGTACAGACCACAGTTGCAGTGCTCTGTAAGAGCAGGGTTGGAGCAAGAGGGTATTTTGGGACCAAAGCTATTGTCTTGTGTGCTTCAAGTCACGTTTGCCACAGTAGATGCTCAAAAATAGCAGAGCTTATATAATAGAAGTTCAGGAGCTATTTCCTTCCAGCTCCCGCACAGCAATTCATTTGGCATACTGTGCACTGCATGTATGGTTGGGGCATATTCTATGCCATGAGGGTGTGCAGTAAGTCTTGTTTTCGTTAGAGTTTCTGAATAAACCTGCTCGTGTCAGGGACTAAAATTTAAAATCTTGCTCTTACTGATGATGTTTTGCATAGATGAAATGTATGTACATTGTAGAGTATGGTAAGATTAGAGAAGGTTTCAGCACAATATTTTTTTCTTGATCTTGGAGTTTTGGATAATTTGATTTAACTTTTGTGATTTAGATCAGAACATTGGAGGAAATATTTGGGACTTGTAAATATAATATAATATGGAATTGTGCAATCAGTCATCTAAATATTGTTTAACTTAACTCATGACTTGGTAAGTTTGTAAGATTTATATCATGCTAATCATGCTTCGGCATTGACAGTCTGTTCCTTATCACACCAAATTGTTGAATATACAGCTGCTACAATCTATTTGGCTTCTGTTCAGAACCAGAAAAATCAATGGGGGTTTCAGCCTGCAATGTGCATGCTTGAGCAAAAGTATAAGTGGTGCACTTGAGCAAACAGGAACATAATCTAAATGCCTTCTCTCTTGGGTTGAGACAGTTCTTCTGCCCTTACCATCTTTACCATGCCTTACTGCTGTTTCTTCCTGAAAGGTTAGTACTCCTCTTTGCAAATATGGTGGGATTTACCTAGATATTTGAGGGAATTTGAGTGACTTCTATGAATTCTGCTGGTATTATTTATATAATTGAATGAGAACTTTGTTTTCTTCTTCCATTTTGCTGCCACAATGAATGTAGCAAAACTCACTGTATGAGCACACAATACAGAAAGTTTTGTTTTTAACAAAACTGACTTAATTTTTTCACAGATACCAGGATTAGTTGTGGTGGTGTGGCATGGAGAACAAGGACTGCTAGCTCTCACATTCTTATCTGTCTCCTTGGTTCTTGATTGATGCTAATGCTGTGTGATCCCTGAAGCCTTTTCGTATTGACAAAGAAGGCTCAGAGCCAAATTAAGTTGTAACATAAAGTTGCTGTTTTGCATTTTTGGTGTGCTTTTATACATAGTGTGGCCTTGATGTGCTCCAGGCAGCGCTGCCAATTCTTTGCTTTTACGTGTCTTCTTGGCTATTATTACTGTTTTTATTCTCTTGGATTACTTCATGTACTGCTCACTCAGCCATTTCTTCTGATGCACAAATGTTTATACTTCCTGTGGTCCAGTGTAATGATTCCTGTACAGAGCATGTTTCACCTGTGACCTGTTAGTACTCTGAGAGAAGGAAGGAATCTTTACAAAAGAGGCTGTAGTTTGGCTTACTTTTCTTTTAATCCCTCTGTTCCCCCTTGCATGTTAAACTCAGCTATGTAAACTTTGTCTTTGAGTTAAGCTATTCTCTCCACAAGCCTGTAATGAAATTACAGTATAAACCAGGGATAGGTCTGTATATAGTGTATCAGGTTGAGATACAAAAACTTCTACTACATAGAGGTCTTTGAACACTTTTGGCAGGCTGTATTTTGACGTACACCTTGCTGATATCCAGTAGTGTGAGAAACTGGGGAAAAGACATGCATGGTTGCTGTCTCTCTTGGCTCCAAAAGTACTGCACTGCTTGGAAGAACCTTCTGTTGATCCTCATTTCACCAAAGACCTGCTGGGAATTAAGCCTGTTCCTCCTTAGTCCACCACTACAAGGAAGACTCCAGAAGCAACTCTTGCTAGCTTGGGAGTTCCACTTGGCCAAACTTTTCATCACATTATGCTAATTTGTCATTTTCAAGCTTCCCCAAGTAGAGCTAGAATAAAATATCAGCTTTGATGCTGTTGAACTAGCCTCATATTTCTGTGTACAATTCTAGTATTTTCATATTTTTTTTCTATTTGTGAGAAACTTATTCAGAAAATTTCTATTTATTTCTTTTTAGAAACTCTTACCCTTTCAAATAAAGGTACAAGGGGCTGGGGGGAAGGAGAGCCTCTGTTTCTTCCTTCCAAAATACCAAATCCACAGGCTGGAAGGTGCTGCAAGCGTATTTTCTGAGGGGCTTGCTATGTGGTCAGCACAGAGGCTGTCAGTGTTGTAACCATTTGTTCTAGAGCTGTTGGTTCAAATTGTGCCCAGAAATGTTCATAGTAATATTATTCATTACTAAGATGAATGGAATGATGTGCAGAGAAGGAAGGAGGAGAGGAGGCACTTCACTCTTAATTAGAAAGCATTAGTGTAATGTGGTTTATTGCCTACCACAAGAGGTTTATTCCTGTGACACTGACAATTATGGTAAGCATACTTTAACAATACATTGTGAGCTGTGTGCTTTCGTTCTTGGAAACCTCCACTTTGAGCCAGGCTGGTAGACAGGTATTCTCAAAGAATACTTAAGCTGTCTTGCATGAATCTGCCATCTGTGAATTAAGTTAAAATAAAAAATAAAAAAAATTAAAAGTTCACCGTCAAAGAAAATCAACAGATAATTATCAAAGTCATTGCAATCTAGCAATTCTGAAGAAGTCTGCTACTGGGTTGACAAATGTAAAACTGTCTTTTTCTTACTCCTCTAAATTTACCTCTATGTTCAGGAGCTTCCTCTAGATATCTCACATAAGCATCCTGAGGAAATCAACAGTGTAGAAAGACAGTGCCACCATGTTTTTTTATCTTTATATATTATGGTAGAAACCAATTTGAATCTATCAGATTTAATTGCAGGAGTTGAAATACTGATTTACAACCAGATGGGTTTTCCCTGATGCTAGAGGCTGTGTGAGACAGAGAAATAAGGCAGATGGTCAGATGTGGTAAAAACGGTCTGATGTTAGCCTAATGCTTCCTTGTCTCTCTGAGAATCATCATTCTGCAAGCTTGAAGCTCATTGTAGGAGTGGAGAATTGGGTTGTTGCTCAGCTTGAGCCTCTTTAACTTAATATTCTTGTAGAGCTTCTTTAATAAGATCCTTAATATTGACTTTATCTGGCAAGTCAGGGACATGGCAGGCGTCTTCCCTTCTTCCATATGTCTCTCATTAACTCCAGTAAAACTCAGTGCTTCCCAGCCATCACCAGATTCCCTGCTGCTGGCTGGTTACCTGAGTGTCAGAAATGTGTAAATATGCTGGGAAGTGCTACTGTCTCCTTTTCTCCCAGCACAATGTTTCCTTAGCGTCACCCAAGTTAAATGTCCATGTCACTTGTTTCTAAGGTAAAGGTTTTAGCTGTGACTGAGAAACCTGAGACATCATGTAACAAAGTCCTGATTAGGCAGGAAAAGCTGTACTGCATACACTGGCTGTGAGGTCAGAAAAAATGACATTCATAGGTGGAATTGCATGACGTTGTGCTAAAAAAAGGTCAACAAAGAGTGTGCAAATGCAGCACTTACAGAGCTCAGTGCAAAGCTGTGCAATACCACTCTTCTGTGATTTCATTACAAAAATTAACCTCCTCAGAAAGGTTTAATTGGTGCATTTCCTTAATAGACAATGCCAATCTTAATCCACTCTAAATTAACACTGGAGTGAAAAAACTACCAAGCAGTTTATTAAACTCTGTTCTCAAACAATAGGGTTTTTTAAGCAAAGTTGCCTGGAAATACCAGCCTTGTGGGGTTTTTAATACTAAACTTTTCAAGTGCTATAAATGCTTTTTTTCAAAGTCTAATAAGTTTCACTTGACCAGAATCTAACCAAATTTGAATACTTAAATGCATGGATGATTTTTAAAAAAATTATAACTACTGCCAACTAGAAAATATTTATGTTAATTACAAAACACTAATAAAGATATAGTAAAAGATACCACCATTTAGCATTTTGATCAATCTGATGCTCTGAAAGGGCCAGTTATGTGTATGTCAGGTCCCATGTGTACTGACAGTCATCTCTGTCATCACTGCACCTTGGGATTTATAGTTGCAGGTTGCTTGTGCCTTGCACTGGCAGATCCTTTGGTGCTCGCATTGCTGTTACAGTTATTCTGTATCCCTCTCCACAGCTCTGTGCGCAGTGGTGAGGGTGATCATCGACTCACAGCAGTAACAAGAACTGGGGTATTCCCACCTGCTTTTTGTCAGGTCTGCTGTGGTGTGCCAAGTGCTCTTGGCATGATTCCTAGATACACTGGCTTTTGGAAGATGCCCAAAAGTCAAGGTTTCTGGAAACCCTTTGCTACACAGGAGAATGTGGGAAGAAGTGGTACATACCACTTCCCAAGTGCATACTTGGAAAAAATTGAGAAAGTCATGAGTTTATTATGGTCTGCAGCTACCTAAACTGCATGACAAATATGGTCTTGTAGGCACACACAAGTAAAACTAGAGGTGGTAAATACGTAATTTTTACTGTCTGATGACACCTTTTCATGATGTTTCCCTGGTACTGGAATACCTTTTCCACACGTGACAGCAAACATTACATAAGTTAGGTAATTGGCTGTGTTAGAGGTCTGGTTGGGAATCTGAGCAGTGGTTTCGAGAACATAAGCATGCACATGCACAGACATTTCTCCTCCTTCCCATAACCTGGTGTCTAATTGCTAGGCTCAAGCAAAATATACATTTACTTGAAAAGCAATTTCATGCCTTTTTTATTTTAACATGCATAAAAAGTCTAAATTTACACTATAAAAAAAGAACTGATTTTAAGTAAGTGGCCACCACAGCATGTGACACTCTGGGTTTTATTTTCTTTCTGCTTGCATTTACATTTGGAAAAAGTTTCCATATTTCATTTAATCTGAAAAACAGCCAAGTGGTACATTCTTCCTTCTCACTGGATGCAGACTTTTTGTGCTCTTCACTTTGCCAGTTGACACAAACCAAACCCCTTTAATTACTGAAAAATCTTGAAATTATGTAATATTGAAAGCATCATTCTGATTTCAGAAGGTGTGAATAAAACAGCTCAATTCTTCATGTTATCCTAAAATACACTGAGCTGGTTCATGCTGTGTGAGTACTGAGTAAGCAGTCCTTTAGCATTCCTGTTAAGACTTCTCTGTGCTATGTCCAAAAGCTTTCTGCATTACCACTTTTGAGTTCTCACTACAGGTAGTAATACTGCATTCTCACAGAGAAGAGGTATGTGAGAACCTCTGCTTCTGTAACAACAATCCATGTGGAAATGAGTCGAGTAATAATAAAGGGGCAACATACACAAGCAAAACTGCAGGTGGGATCTGAGGGTAATAATGCCTGTCCTGGTGACCTGAGCAAAGCTGACGTGCCACGCAAGGTCACTGGTGTGTATGAAAATGGGCTGGATGTCTTGTAGGCTGCCTGAAGGCAAGTGGCTCAAAGTGACATGCTCTTGAGGGTTTAGGTTTGCTACTCTACCCTGCCTGTGCACACACAGGTGAGGAAAGGGGCTTGTTCCTAAGGCACAACAAGCTTCTGAACAGAGATTTTCTGGAGAATTGTCACACAGTTACAGCTTCTAACTGAGCACTTTCCTTCATTCGTCACTCCTTGACACTTGAACTGAGACCAGAGTTTTAACTCCATCCCTGGGTGCTCCTTGGCTGTCTTACTTCCTGTGGCAACATTCCATGTCCCTATTCTACCTGACTTATTAAATCTCTGTAAGTCTATGTTCATAAAATAACTTATGCAAAGCAAGGCCAAATCATGATGCTGTGGATTCCCTGTCACTTGAAAGCGCTAAATCAGAATCAGCATCTCTTCAAAGAGGCCCCCTGCCAAAAAGAACAGTTTAAGGCAGGAATTACTGGTTGAGATTTCAGGTCAGTAAATCAAATTAGCCTTCTCTGATTTCAGAATTTATGTTTGATGGGTAAACCTTATTATAAGTGCATGAATAGTTTTAGAGTGACAGTTCTTTTCATGTAGTAACATCTGCACACTGCTTTGCTATTAGCCTGTGTAATGTTTGCCAGCAACACAGCAGGGAAGTTCAAGCCTTTCTGGTGACGAATTTTTCATCCAAAAAGCCAAGGCACACATCCCAAGGCTCTTAGGTGCTCTCACTGATTGGAAAATCTATTACAGAGCTCTGCTGTTTTCTTTAGTGAAGAAGCTAGATTTATTTGTGATAACAGTGCTGGCTGGCATCAACAGACCTGCACAGAGCAGTGAATTAATGACATTCCCCACCCAGTGACTGCTGCTTGCTGTCACAGACATGCTGACGTATGGTATAGCCACTCATACGCTTGCATACTCTTGCACCGTGCCCATATGTCACCTGCACTACTTTGCATAACAGTTTCATTTTTAAATTAAACCTCAGATTCTCCTTCATGTTTTGAGTTGATTTTGCTGATGTGGAAATTAAGCAAAGCCTCACTAGTCAGCTTCTTGCAATTTTATAAAAGTCTGGAACAGAAATAGAAGATGATTACAGTTCTTCTGAATTCTCACTGTCCTGTGATCCGTGTGTTCCCATGTCTTAACCACATGCTTCAGGAAGCTGACTGTGTTTCAAAGTTAAAAACACAAGTGGTTTTCCATTGCTTGTTGGCTGGCCACACTACTTTCCTGTCTGTTGTTCAGTTCTTGAGCCTATTTCTGCAGCCCTGCCTCTGGGGAAAGGACAAGGTCTGCTGAGCCTCCAACCCCAGTCCTGACCTGAGGCTGGGGCTTTTGCTACTTCTATGAAGCAGAAGCATCAGCCACATCTGTGCTGAGGTCCTCTTGGATACCTGCAAGCTGGTGTCCTTTGCAGCTTAGTAACCATCTGGTTGACAGAATTAATCTGATAAGAGTGGTAAATACCCTGTCTCTAACTGAGTATATGCAGCTGTTAGAGCACCATTAAAAAGAGAGCACACTGGCTGTTTTTTATTAACTGTACCCCTGTGGTAACTGTTCTCTTCAGTCCCCAGTATAATACCAAATTGTGTAATGCTGATTCATCATATGATCCACTTGGTAGAGCATCAGCTTTCCACATGAGTAAAGAGGAAGGGGATTTACATCCTGCAATCCATCAGCTTCCTTGGTAGGTGTTGCTAATTATCTATATGTATGTACTCATATGCAGGTTAATAGCTTTTAATTGCACTGAATTCCTGAAGTAGGGGCAGTTAAGACTAGAAATAAAGTTTAAAATAGTTATAGAGTGCGTTACATACACAGAGGCCAGGAACTGGACAAGGTGAGCGAGTGTTTCCACGGAGACCTTCCTTGCTTCTTCATTGGTGGCTTTGCAATAGTAATTCCTATGGGAATTTGGCTTTGCAAATTCCTATTGTCACACGGAAGTTAGGAAATCCTAAGTTCCTGCCTAGCACTGCACATGGTTAGAGACGACTGATGCTGGAAAAGGTGTTTCTGAAACACTGGGAAAGGTCTTGGCTCCTGTTAGGAAAGCACGGCCTTCCAGCTGTCCTTTGAGGAAACATGGCTTTTCCACGGAGGCGCGGGCAGTGGGATGCGGCACAGCAGTTCGGAGCCGGGGTTCGTGCACCACGGCATTAAACTTCAGTTTGATGCCTAGTCTTTTAAGATCCTCGTGTTCAAATGCCTCATCCACTGAATTCATTAAATTCCAGCCACCCAAAACCAGGTGTTATGTGAGCAGGCAGGTGATCCCGGCAGTGTCGTTGGGAGCAGGGCAGCCTGCGGAGGGTGGCCGCGCAGAGACCCACCTCTCGTGTTGCCGCTGCCACAGCCCTGAGGGCCCGGGGCCGCGCAGCTCACACACGGGCTGACGACAGCGGAAGACGCGCGGCGGAGGCGGCGCCGGGCCGGGCGGAGGCGGCGCCGGGCCGGGCGGAGGCGGCGCCGGGCCGGGCGGAGGCGGCGCCGGGCCGGGCGGAGGCGGCGCCGGGCCGGGCGGAGGCGGCGCCGGGCCGGGCGGAGGCGGCGCCGGGCCGGGCGGAGGCGGCGCCGGGCCGGGCGGAGGCGGCGCCGGGCCGGGCGGAGGCGGCGCCGGGCCGGGCGGAGGCGCCCCGCGCTCAGCTGCCCAGCCCAGCCCAGGACATCCCAGCCGTGCCCCTTCCGCATGCGGCAGCCCCGAGAGAGCTGAGCTACTCCACACCGCCAGCATGTCTGCCCGCTGCTGTGTCGGCCAGGTAGGGGTTGGGGGCGCTGGGAGCCCGGCAGGTGTGCGGGGCGAGGGGCGCAGGGAGGGCGGACATCCCCCGGGGATCCGCGCTGCGAGCCGGCCCGCGGCCTCCACGGCCGTGGCGGGGACCGAGGTCCCGGGGCAGCGCCCGGCGGGCCGCCGCTCACCCGGAGAGTCGGGGCGGGGAAGGGTCAGAGGTCCGTCCCTGGGCTGCCCCCGGGCCGCGGCTCTCGGCGGTCCCCGCAGCCTCCCTGCGAGCCAGGCTGTCCGGGGCCATGGGCGCGGGAGGGGAACAGCAGCCCTGGCTGTGAGCGCGGATGCCCATCCGGGCTCGCCAAGTGCTCCAAGCGGCATTTCTACCGTTCCCTGGGTAGATTTCCCTCGTATTTCTGGAGGGAAGCTGCGCGCGACACGTCTCCCCGAGGTGTGTGCGGGCAGCCGGGAGCCGCTGGGCTCGCCGTCGTCCGCACCAGGGCAGCGGCATGCAGATGGAGGCGCCGGCATGGAAAGGGGCCTTCCCAAAGCCCTGCACGGCAAGGAGGAATTCCCTAATGGGCGACAGATCGCTTAGGCCTACGAGAGTCGGTTGGGTAGTTGTCATTGGTTCCATATGGTGGGGAGATGAGACCCCCATGATATAAGAACGGGGTTGGTCTTAACTTCTCTCCTAGCCCCAGGCTTCCTGCTAGACCTCGAACCCTTTCACAAACTCCTTTACATTTGGCTTGCGAAGCAATTCGGCGTGTTTGGGTGCTGGCAGAGGAAGTGAAAGATGACAGTAAGTGGTGATGGAGGGCAGGGCAGGACCTACACTGTTCAGCATCCATGGAGTGGGAATTCAGTGCTCCATATGTTACCACGATGCACCTGTTTTCCTGCTTAAATTAGTTCCATGGACGAAGGACCATGGCTTGGAGGAGGTGGGTGATTGTGAGGCCCCTTCCAAATCTCATCCGTGGTTGCACTTAAGGGAAGGACTCCTGTTTGTAACAATTATCTCTCTGGTGTGATGTTAAACATTTTCTCCAGTTACTTTATTTGTGTTTCCTTTTCCTAAATCTCCTTTTCTGCAATAGAAACTCATTATTACTTTTCCAGTCTGCAACAGACTAACCAGTGAACTTATTCCTATTGTTCTACATATGAAAACACCTAATTCTATTGATATTTCTATTGCTTTGTTCACCCTGCCCACCCTCAGCATCTGATTATTCTCTTGGTTTTGTATGAACCACCTGGGAAAAAAAAATCTTATATCTTTCCTGAAGGTTGAAATCCCGAACTAGATTTGGACTTCTGTCTATGGTTCTTTCAATCTTCAGTGGGATGGTAGAAGTACTTAGCTTGCCTTCAGTTGCCCTGGGAGCTGGCCTGGACTTCTCCAAACAGCACTGGGTGGTTGTGGGGGAGAGTAGTAACTGCACTTGCTAATATTCCTCTAGAAACAGGGGCCTCCCTGACTGCTGTTTCACATCCATTTTGGCAGCATGTGAAACAAATTGTAGAGCAGCTCAGTGAAGTGCTGTTAGTAGGTAATGTTACTGCAGTGGCTCATGGCTGTTGCGTTTTCATTAGGTTTTTTTTGATGTAGCTCCTGGAGAAGTAGTTTAATACCAAGAGGATGAAACTGTTGTGATGCTCAATGGGGAATGGCATGGCTTTACTATGGCCTACTTCTGTGACATTCCTAAAGCCTCTGTCCCTACCCCACGTAGTAGTCTCTGATACTAATGTGTTTTATTGACACTGATGTGTCGCTTTGGAGTCTGTAAATAAACTGAACTCCTTAGTGTTGTCGCAGATGAGGCAAAAGCCCTGAAGTGGATGCATAGTACCAAAAACCCCTGGGAAGATGTATTCTGAAAAAAATAAGGACTTACAATTGATGTAAGACTTATCTGTGGTAAATATGGCATATTGCCAGAGTTATACCAGCAAAGGTAGTGTAGACAACCTTTTTATAGGCTAAGGTGATAATGGCATAAACCATGTTTCATTAGCATGCAGTATTACATTTTAAAAATGAAAAATGGTCTTTGCTTTTATTACTTGATTTATTCCAGCCTTGATGAGGAGATGTTTGTTTAACACGATTAAGAAAACCAAAAGGAATAGTTCTTCTTTCTGGCTAAACCAAGCTCTCTCAAGTGTTTTGTGGGTACTGTTAATGAAGCTGGAAAAATCAAGAAGGAATTTGGCCTCTCTTTCAGTGTTCCCCTAAAGATGAAGTTAACCATGTCTCCAGAATTGCTTGAGGAAAGATGGAACTTTATATGAGTTCTGAAAAACAACACTCATGTTGGGTCCCTGCTTTTTTCCTAAAATATACTAGTTTAATGGGTTTGATATCCTGTAGCGTGAGGACTTTTTGTGGGAAGTATTTTTGCCCTTTAGACACCTTGGGTGCGCCTCTCTCTTTCTGTGGATCTACTTTCCTAGAACTACCTGCGAATTTTACCATTATCTTTCTGAGCTGTTTAGGTACAGTTACCATGGGTGGATGTCTGTAGCTCATATCAGAGTTTTGTTGTAAGTTAACATGACTTGACTATGTGTTTTTGCTCCATTCATATACCAGCAAAATTTCCTGATAAGAAGACAATGAGTGGTTAGTAATTTTAATTTTGGTTCAAACTGTGCTGTCTGGTTGATGGTTCCTGTCAGAATAAATGCATTCAGGTTTTGCAGCCCAGATTCCTGTTGTTAAAGGATATAGCAGCAAGCTGCCAAACTTCAATGTACTTTGGTTATGCTGATTTTGCACTCAAAAATTATTTAAAATAATCTTGGTGAACATTACTATGTGACCTGTATCCTTGCCAGGTAGATCCTGGGAACTTTCTTTGAAGGAACGTGGCCATTTCTAAACTTTAATTTCTGCAGTTGTTTTTTATTGGGCGATATACAACCTTTTTTTGAAGACAAAAAATTACAGCTCAGGTTTCTGAGCTGTAATAAGCTTGCTAAATATTCTTCTTTTACTAGTGTTTCGTTGGTAGACCTATTTTGAGAATGTAGTGAGAATACAATTTGGCTTGGGCCTCCACAATGCTTTTGATTACATAAAAACATCTGCTTAAATTGACAGGAAACAGGATTTTACATTTGGCTTTTCTTCAGTTGTTATTCTCAGGAGAATGAAGCTGAGATCATGGTTACAGAAAGCAGCTGTTGCAGAAAATCTTTATTACAATGAATATGTTTTTTCCAGAGTTAAATGAATGTAATTGAGATCGTTAACATTCATTTTGAGGGGACAGTATGTTGTAGCTGGGTTATTCAAGAAGATGGATTTTTCAATTAGAACTGGTAGCTATTAAAGCTCATGAAGCTATTTTTGTAGGCCTCTTAAATCTTGAGTGATGTCCTTAATACTGTTCTGCACTTAGAAATCATATCATGTAGTAAATACAGTGAGATATTCCACAAGTTAGAGTATCAGATTTTAATTTTATACCCAGACCTCTAATTATGATTTTTTCCTTTTTTTAGAGGGAGAGGAAAAAGAAGCATGCATCTATATTTATAAGACTGACCTCGCTCATTTTATGACTTCTGGGACCCATAGCTTTTGGGACAAGGGAGGGAGACCCCTGTGCCCTCTGGGCTGCCTGTCTCCCTGGCACTGCCTGTTTGCATCTTCAGGTTGAGAAGGGGGCTTGCAGTTCCCATGGTCTCCTTTTGTTCATTCTGTGGTGGAAAGGATGGTTCTGTCACCCCCATCCAGGTTTGTGTCCTCTGAGGTTGCTGGAACACTGTTGGGAGTATGCGTAGTGTGATGTGCTGCAGTGCTGTGGGATGATGCTGGTGGTGTTCCTGGCTCTCCCTCACATAGTGCTCCCCAAAACATATCTCTTTGCAAATGGTCTTCCTGGGTGAGAATGGTTTGTTTAGTGTGTTTAACCTGAATATTTACCTGTGGGTATTTCCACACCCCTACCACTGCTATTATTAATCATAAAAGAAGATGAAATTAGCTGTCTGAGGTCAGATGTAGAATACTGTAGTGTACTGTTAGTGTAGTACACTAACCTAATGCAGTTAGGAAAAACAGACTGGGGAAGACCTATTTTCCCTGTTTGCAGAAACACAGAGTTTTTGCTTTAAAGGAATGGTTTCCTGAATAACTGAATTAGCAAAACCTGTTTTTCTGCAGCTTTGTTCACTGAGGTTGGTACCTCATGCTGATTGCCTTTCTGATAAATACTGAGCTCATGTTTAAGCCTTTTTCTTCCTCAAGATTGAGAGATCATTTTTTTCTGCTGAAACTTTTTCCTCTTTTCAAGGAAACTATAAGAACATATCTTTGAGGCCCCATTGGCCTGCCATAGCTGGATAAAATTTGCTGCTGGATTCAAAAGTGATCAGAAAGGGAGGGAAAAGTGACCAAAAGACAGTGAGGTCCTGTAGCTGTTGTATCATTTAACATTGCATCGCTAGGTTGGTAAAGTGCTGAGGCCTGAAAACAGGCCCTGAGCCAGAGCTGACCTCTAGATGAACCTTCCAACCTAATGTTATTATTTAGCCATGTATCTGCTCATTAGCCAAAATTCTGTATAATCATTAGTAAAATACATAATATGATAAGACTCCAGCTGTGTAAACATGTATGCTTGTTAGTGAGATATATTGGTATTCACTTATTAGTGAGGATTTGTATCTGTTCATTAATGAGATATGAATATATCTATCTTTCTATGTTTAGAGACTGGTCAAGGCCATGGAAGTAGACAGCTGGCTTTGTTCAACAGTAGATGGCCCAAATTTAAGATATGAATGTATCCATTGTTCTGTAGTTAGAGACTAGTCAAGGCCATGGAGGCAGGTGGTTGGCCCCATTCAGCAGCAGTTGACTCCCTTGATTTTCCTCTGAGCACTGATCAGGCTTTAGGTGAAACCCAAGGGGAAAAGAAAGCAAGACATTTACCTCACTAAATAAGCGACGGTAAGCTTGTTTGTTTGACAATTTAAAAGCTGGACCCTTTCACAGCGAAGATGGAGACCTCA